GAAAGCCAGAAATCCTACTAGAAATGTAATTACCCATCCTGAGTGGACACTGACTCATCAGTACTTTGACAGTTTAACTGATTCACTAAATAGGAAGCTGTATAATGAATTAGGAGATGAATCCATTGTTTGGGTCTGGGGTTAAAATAAATCACACTGAAGCATAACTGCAATAGCACCAATATTTACACTGAAGCCCTTGGCATTTAACCAAAATGTTCCTTAACACTATTATTATAAGCTACAAAATCAAATAGATTCTTGATTGTATAACATCCTTAGAAAATGTACAGTATAGCCAGGAAGTTAATTTCTGCATAATATAGAAACCATTACATAGTAAATGCATACAAGCTTTTGGCTTATTAAAAAATGCAAATTAGGGCATTTTATATCTTTGGGATATCATCTATTGTAGATAGTAACTATGACTATCTATGATAGTAGATATCATCTACTATATTTGTGAACCTACTATCCTGCCCCTAAGGAGACTGTTCCCATGACAATGTTTCTGAAAGAGCCCAGTGATTTACTAAGTAGGAAATAAGTAAACAAACAATTTTTTTTTATCTTCTTTCCTTAGAAGATAAGAAATTAAGAATTATCTTGGATGGATCCATTACAATTCTATCTATTAAGCACTATTGGTAGAAGTAATGCTAGAGGAAGAAAATATGCAGCATCAACAATACTTCATACAGTTATAAGATTAGAATTTCCACTTGAATGGCATGAATTCAGATTCTCTGTTTGGAAAGTTCATTTTTATGTCTATACTAATTAAGTCATGCTTGATTTAAAAACATCGCTCTGTGTGCTTCATATATGCAAAAAAAGCAATGGTTTCTCCCTGTCTCCTCTAGCAGAGATAAAACCATACATAGAAAGGAAGACTGTGATTGTTGGTTCATAATTACTACTCTATCCTGCTAGAGGCTGAAGCCACCTCCATTATCTGTTGGAAAGGAGTTTAGTGACCAAAGAACTCTGAAGTATCCTGATTCAGTGATGACAAGTTCCTTGTTTGTAAAACTTTGGGGGAACTTTAATCCTATGATAGATATATGGAAGGTGAAATAGCACCTGCAACAGGATATACAATGTATTTAACATTGACCTAACATAAATTTAGATAATTCAATTTCCCATGGGACAGCAAGGTCAGAATATGTTTTATGGGAAGAAGGATGAACACATCATTAGGAGCACAAATTTACTACTGTTTTTCAATGAAAACAATTTTTGCCTGATGGAGTCTCTCAAAATGAGCTATTTGAAGACTTGATGTGGAGAAAACTCCTTCTGTGATATATTCACACCTTTGTTCAAATTGGAATGGAACTCTCTTCAACATTTTATTTCTGGAAAGGGATGGCAATATCGTATGAGCAGCACTTTAAGGTTTTGGTTTTGACCATGGCTTGTATATGGAGGCAAAGTAAATCAATAAAATGTAAGCGATTCCAGCCTTTTGGTGAAATGATATGAATCTGTCTATGACAGAATATAAATACTGTACATGTTCAGAGTAAAAGACAGTATGTTTCTAATGCCTGCCAACAAATACATAGCTTCTGTCACTTATTGTAGCTTCAGCAACAGAAGAGGATAAAAGGGTCTGTATTAACAGAATAACAGAGTTGGAAGAGACCTAGTCCAATCCCCTACTCAAGCAGGAGACTGTACCATTCCGGAGATCTTAGACCATTTTGTGATTCTAATCATTTAACTGTGTTGCCTGTTTAAAATGTCTTGGAAGCTTTAACTTGTTCAAGATTTAGTTCATAGATGTTTGCAAGAACTAGGTTATATATATATATATATATATATATATATATATATATATATATGTTTTTTGAGGTTTTCACGGGTGTTTATATGTGAGTCTTTGGTCATTCGGGTTTTCTCCCGTGTAAGATTAGAAGTATCATAGCGACGTTTCGATGAAATCACATTCATCATCATCAGGCTTGTGCTTTTAGCTTTGTGCTTCTCAGTGTAATATGNAAATATATATATATATATATATATATATATATATATATATATATATATATATATATATATATATATATATATATATATATATATATATATATATATATATATATATATATATATATATATATATATATATATATACCTATATATAAATCTTCCTGACTGACTCTTTTTAAGCTGGTTTTAAAGGCTTAAGATTTCCAGTCTCTTTTTTATATAGGAGTATGCTAACTATTTCAAGCTTAGAAAAAAATCTAGTTTAAAATAGGTTATTCCAATTTTACAAGATTGTTCTGACCATTTTGTAAGTGTTTTGAATTCAAAATGAAGTCATTTGAAGCTCAGAACACCTCTACAATGAGAGTAATATTGGAACTCTCCTGGCAAGATTTGAAGAACTGCTTAGAATTCAAAACATGCTCTCACCTGAGATTCTAGACAAATGTTGCCAACTAGAATAGACCATAGTAAGCTACTGTATATAAACAGTTTTCCCTAGCAAAAGGTGACCTCCTTTGTGTCTTAGGCTATGGATAGAAGTATCAGATCTCATTTTACACTATCATCCAATATTAGGATTTAGAACAATGTTTCTTTACCCATCTCAAATGTGTTAATGCTTTGTTAGGTTCCAAATAACAAGCAAATGCTATCTGCAGAGATTCTGATTAACATGTCAACTTATCTCACCTCATGGTGCTGTCCAGTTTGAAATGAATATTTTAATATGGTCCCACAATATACAGTATTCTTGGACATGAACAGAGGCCAATTTTCTGGGAAGCTCAAAGAGAGCCTTAGATCTTTTTGCAGATAGAGATCTAAGTTTTCCGTGTTGATTTTTTCATCAGAAGGTTAATAGAATTATCAGTAAGATGTATTTTTCTTAATGAGATACCAGATTCAGATTCAGTTGTGGTGGAAAATTCCAGTTGCTCAAATTTTGAAAAGCGCATTTAAACAGTTAGTGAGAAAAAAAGACTTGTGTGCAGGACAAATAGAAATTTGAGCCTGAATTTAAGGCAGACTGTTGGGAAAAAGGAATGATAGTGAAGAAGGATATCTGGAGTAGCAAAATTGTAATTTCACAGTCACAACTATTACTCTGTAATAAACCTGATCACTTATATCCATCCTCAGGAAGGATTAGGGGCCAAAGATTTGATTTCTCCTTGCAATGGGCCCAATAATGCTGTTGAATTATTCCAGTATATGAAGCTGCAAGCAAGGACCTGTTCAGAATGAAGAGTTTTTGCACAATTCTCCCCCCCCATCTCTCTCACACACATACACAAACACAAAGAGAGAGAGAGAGAGAGAGAGAGAGAGAGAGAGACAGACAGACAGACAGACAGACAGACAGACAGACAGACAGACAGACAGAGAATCTGTTGAATCTTTAGTACAGTTACAATGCTGGCTCTCTATGAGCACATTTTCAAAAGCATCATGGAAAGTTAAAGAGGTAAAACAGTGGTAGATGTAACTGATCTCCCTCTTTCCTTGATCTCCTTTTAAATGAAAATTTAATTATTCACCTTGTTTATGAACATATAAAAACACATCTTAGGAAATGATTCATCTATCTATTGACAGCAGGCAAATTATGAGAAATAGTCATACTTGCTCGGGTATGACAAAATGAAGTTTTTAAATATTTAGAATCTCAGCTGGGGGAAAGGAAAAGAGGGACTCGTTAAAAAGAAAAGGATAAAGACAAGACACAACAGGGGAACAAGTGGGTATCTGTGTCAACATGTCAATTGAATGAAGATAGCAAGTATCTCATTATGTGAAAGAAGCTGGGCACAAATACAATCAGACTGTAAAGCAAAAAGGTTTTATAATCTGAAAAAAATCCTACAGTTGAGGATGAAAGGGGAAACTAAAGATTTAACTCAATAAATCCAAAATATATCTCTGTATATAAAATCTATTACAAAATTATGTACAAAATTATGTACATGTTAGCGTATAAATCTCATTTCAAACTCAGTTTCACATCATTATACAAATATGATAGACAGACAATTTCCCATTTCAAAACAAGTATTTTATAACTAGCAATGCTCCTATCACTGTGATGGCTACCCTCTTCAATTAGTGATTGATTTCTGATACTAAGATGATGATGAAAATTATGTCAGGGATTTATCAGCGTTCACCCTCTAATGAAGTGCTCACCCGCTTGCTGTCTGGGGAATTCTGGGAATTGAAATCTATACAATTTAAAGTTGCTTTGCTTGATATATTGCAGTCTAGAATTATGTGCCATACAATAGTCAAAAGAGGCATTGAGGAAACTTAGGCCATGGAAGACAATAGTAGTCTTTTGCTGTTGATCCCTAGCACCTCATACCTAGGAAATAGATAATAATAATAATAATAATAATAATAATAATAATAATAATAATAATAATAATAATAATAATAATAATAATAATAATAATAATAATAATAATAATAAAGTTGGAAGGGACCTTGGAGGTCATCGAGTCCAACCCCCTGCTCAGGCAGGAACCCTACACCATTTCAGACAAATGGCTGTCCAATCTCTTCTTACAGCAATCAACTTCAGCTATTAGTGATAGCCCCACTTTTTCAATTTATCTAGTCCAAATGTAAGATAATCATCTAAGCTGGCAGCTATCATTACACTGAATGAGAGCAATAAATGCTAAGAATTATACGGCAATGACATATCCATGCACATATATGAAGAAGTTTATGAGTATATATCTGAGCACCATGATTGAACCAAGATTCCATTATGTATGTCTACAAACATTTGTTATAAAATCACAGCATGGGCAAAAACTGGCATGCACGTGGTCAAAAGTCTTGTCTATCTTATGATTGTGGAGATGAATTCAGTTATATTCAAGGGTTTTCAAAATAAAGGATGACATATATATTCATAAAATTGCAAGGAACACTTTTTGCACCTCTTTTTTTTTTTTTTTTTTTAAAAAAAAACCTTATCTAAACACACTTGCCTCACAGGGAGAATTCTTCATTGGAGCTGGAAATACAGCACTAGTCACCATAACTGTCTCTGCAATGGGACTCTCACTGGTATTAAGCAAAAGGGCACATTCTGCAGAGAAAAAGGGAGGAAAGGTACATAAATTATTAGAGTGAAATTAGTTAATGTTTTCATGGAACATTTGTGTAGCAGCACAATCAGGTGAGGTCTCTGTGTTGCAAGAGCTGTGAAATAACCCTTCATATGAAACTGCACATGAAAATCATAGGTGGTCTTACATTATGCTAGGAATTTTCAACATTTTTTTAGATATCATAATGCAATTTCATTTATTTTCCAAGATCTTTCTTTCTATCACTTATAATGTATATCTTTTGTTTGTGATTTGTTTTGTTCATGTGATTTGTATCAAAAGGCATCTATTTTTTTATTATTCTGAATGAACTATTTCTACTACAAATGAGGAAGAAATGCTATCACGCCTAAGCTGGAAGCCAGGAGTCATGTATATGTTTATAAAGCATTCTTTCTCAACAGAGTAGATTTAAGACCTGCTAAACTTCAGGTAATTGGATTATGATAAGGATAGTCTAGCACATCTGGAGGCTACCTGGTTGAGAGAAAACACTAAAAGAATGGTAATTCAGGGCTCTCCGTTACTGAACATTGTAAATGAAACAATGTTTTTTCCTCCAGTTATTTAATATCATAAAGAACAAGTAGACATTGAGTTACAATCATAATGTAATTGGCTTGAGGGTCTCTTGGGTAGCTGAGTGACTAGGTTGGGTGGGAGAGCTAGAGTGTAAAGGGTGCTGCATCAGCTATAACACTGAAACTGGGTCATAAGTAGCTTTTTTGGGGGGGGGGAATCTGTCATAACTTCAAACAGTTGTTATATGACCAATCGTAAGTTGAGGATTATCTGTAGTGACATCTTTGATCTCAATTTCTGAAGACTATATTCAGTTTTCCCTGCAGTTTACAGAAATAGTTCACTTTCACTTTAGTTCTTTATTTACTAGTGCCTGTTCCAAGTACTGACCAGGGCCAAGCCTGCTAAGTTTTACCAATCAAGTTGATAAGGCATTGCTTCTGACAATGTACACCATTAATAACCAAATTAAGAGTTGCCAATTTACCAATGCTACTAATCTTAAACAAGATGATTTTCTACGAGTCCTATTTTTTTTTTAAAAAAATCATACATTTCTATTGCATGTGGACTCTGCTTACTAATGCTGTGTCAGAAAAGTATTTTCTGATTTTTCTTCCTGTTGCAAAAAACACACACAAAAAAAACCCCCAACTATCAAAGTGAACAACAATGGCTTCATCCCCATCACATCCTAACTCCTTTGACAGACCGCTTAGTTTACCCAGTTGTATAATTTTACCGTGATCTACCTTTCAGTGAACAAAAGTGATGATATTCTGGATTCCCAATATGCCACAGTTGGGCCTTTGGTGAAGTTGATGAACTTTGAGTCCAGCCACACTCTCCATCCTCAAAGGAGCAATAGAAACCAGTAGGAAGGTTTTCTGCATGGGGAAGAATGGCAAGAGACAGAACCGATCAATAATTCCTAAGAACAAAATAGAAAGTATATTCAGTATTTGCTTTTCAGAACTCTGACCTTTCTCTCTGATTCTTGCAGCAAAAAGGAATACTTTCCCTATAGTAACTACTAAAATACTTGTGTCTGAAACTTTGTAACCTTCAATTGGGCAAAATGCTGCATCATAGGGCAAAACTCTGTCAACAGGTGTACCTCAAATGGGGTAACTTGCAGAATGTTGGGACTCATTACTCCCAAAGAAATGAAATTTGGAAAATTGTTTGCCACTTCAGCACCTCTGTGCTGCTGCCACATAACAGTGAACCATAGTAAAGTGACCCTCATTTTAACATACCCCGAGAACTTCCCACAAGTCAATGAGAAACTCAGAAGGAAATGGTACGATTGCTGACACTCCTTACCACCTTACTACTTCCTTTGCTTGTGGGAAGCTTGCAGGGAGATGTCAATGGAGAAACGGTGCATCCTCCACCAGCCTCTGTGAACTCACACACACTGGTCATTCGTCCACTCCCTCAGTCCATTCTCCACCCAACAGCAGCCCCTTACCTACTGGTAAGGACAGAGGGAGGAAGAGGGAGGAAAGAAGAGGGAAGGAGGGAGGAAGGATTTCTGACACTCACTGCCAACTTCCCACAAGGAAACTCAATGGGGAAGCCAACAGAAAGTTAGAAATCACACCTGCTACCACTTAATGTTTGACTGCCCATGGTCATTTTGTTTATCTGTTTAGGCAAGGAAATATTTCTGAAACATATGGATGGCCGAGTACACAGTAATTTTCCTAAAGACAGAAAGTGTATTTCAGATTGTGGCAGCATAAAATATATATAAATAAATAATAAACCTTCACAAACATGTTTGCCCACTCCCTCCAAGATTGAGGCTAGGCATCAAGCATTATCAAAGCAATTCTTACAGGTAGTGCTGGTTTACAATTCCTATCCTTCTTGAATATTAGCATTTTGGTCATGCTGGCTGAGGAAGATGAAAATTGTAGACCAACAATTACTGAAAATTAAAGGTAACAAATCACAAATTATGGAATCAGAATAGGATCAGGATTGTTTTCATATTTCAATTTATATATGAGTGCAGCCTAAAATATTTTTTTTCTAAGGCCACTCCATGAAGTTATAGCAATATTACTTAGGCTTATATACCGCTTCACAGTACTTTACAGCCCTCTCTAAGTGATTTATAGAATCAGCGTATTCCCCCCAACAATCTGGGTCCTCATTTTACTGACCTCAGAAGAATGGAAGGCTGAGTCAACCTTGAGCTGCTCAGAATCGAACTCCTGGAGTGAGCAGTGAGTTGGCCTGCAGTGCTGCATTCTAACCACTGCACTACCACGGCTCTTGATTATGATGAAATGTAGATTGGCAATACATCGTTCATAATTGTATGGTCTTAATAATTATAATACATAATCATTTATTAACTATATCTTCAGGTTCAGCTTTCAAATAATTCCTTAACGTCAGTTATTATATTAATTAAACGATCAGTAGCAATAAGCTGTGTTAGCAAAAATAGGAAAATTAGAATTTTCCTTTAACTTTCTAGTTTTGTTATCTTCAGATGGCAGGATTTCATGCAGCTTCCAAGAGGTACCTTTAATGTAGATTGCATTTGTTAAGACTTTATAGATAACTGAGATGAGTCTGTGACATGTTAAGTGAATGATTTGCCAGAGGCATCAAAGAAGGGCCAGATCTACAAGGATTGCCTTTTACTTTATAATGTAGCAACTTCTTAATCCTTTCACATATTTAAAAATGTAGAACTAATTCCAAATTGAGTGGTCAGCTGATCCCTAGAGTACATCTACTATGGCTGTGAATAGCAAGGCTGGAGATCATTATGGATACCACATATAAGTACTATTTGAAAACTGTTTTTTGTTTTCAGTGACCAGCCCAAGTTACTGCTAGATTTAATTTGTGAAACCATTTTTCTTACACACCGCACTTTAATTTGACCTGAAGATTTTGGAAATTTGCTATTTAAATTTCATATTTATTCAGTACCACTTTATCCTCTTGAGAAAGTTTTTGTGCCTAAAAGAGGAATCTATAACCTATTGTATTCCAAGCAACACTAACTCTTAATGTGCCTACAGAGGACAGTAGTTCTGCCAAACTCTTTTTTCCAGTCTTATTTTACTTCATTCTTTTCATTCCTGGTGAAGTGTTGCTAAAATGAAAACAACATTTCAGCTTGTCCTTTTCCTAAACTTCATAGTGGACAACCAGATTTCAAAAACTCGCTCACCTGTAAAAACATGATACATTGTTTATATACTTAAAACATGTATTCCTTGACTTAATACCAAGGTGCCCAAGGTCAATTCTATAGAGGAAGAAAATGTACCAACTAAAATACTAGTGTGAGGTTGTTGTTATTTCATTTTTTCCACTTTGAAGACACTGGTAGAAATAAAGCATATGTCAAAATTCTGTAATGCTACAATAGCCATGCATTAAATGATACACACAGACATAAAAGTAAAGGAGTTTATCCTTCTGTTCATCCTTTTATCTACAGGTATGGATGGGTTTGGCTATTTCCAGTTTGCATCTATTAATTTATCAATCCATATACTGTTTTTAAATTTTAACATTTTAAATTTATGTATGTATTTCAGAATTGATTCTATAACTCATTATGCCTTTCTATGTGGATTTCATCAAAATAGTATTTCCATAAGAATACTATTTTTTTAAATATAAGAAGTCCCAATTCTGCAGTTATTTTTAGTTATACTGACTACCAGGAGGCACCATGTAACCAGTTTTGTTCTTTATTGGGACTCCAGATGTGACTAGGCAGATGTTGCTCAGATGTTGCTCAATGTTGCTCCAGATGTGACTAGGCAGATGTTGCTCAAACCTTCTACAGGAAGTTGAACTCAAGGACCTTCACATAAAGGATACACATCATGTAAAAAAAATAAATAGAGAACTCCCTCCTCCAAGAGGGGTGTGTGGAAATCATATAAAACACTGTATGTGCAGGCATGATATAATGTAGTAAATGTACCTTTCTGCTTTGAGAGTTTAAGGGAAGATGTACTATATATATATATATACCATTCTGATATGAATTCTGAAGGATCACTGTTATAGTCCATATATCATCTGGGAGGTTCAGTTCAGATTAGCAATATACTTCTGAAAGCAAGCCAAACAAAACTGATCCATGCATTCATCCATCATTACCAATATCTCAGGGCAAAGCTTAATAAAATAGGTGTCATATAGTTTAAGCTAGACCTTTGTTAGTGCTGAACCATACACACAAATCTCTAGAACAATTCTTCAGTGGAGGCAAGTAATCTGCATATATAAAGAAATATGCATACACGTGATCTTCGTCATAAAAGTAAATGAGGATATCAATCATGTTAAACAGTCCCATGAGCACAGAACCCCGGGGATTGGCAGATATTTATGATTTGGAACATGTTTGTTTCCAGTGCTATACTGTACACTAACCTGGACATTTTTTTTAAAAAAAAGAAAATAAATAATGCCAGTTAACCCATCATTTGCAGTGATGACAGTGAATACTAATCCAACCATCTCCTAGTAAAAACATAGGAAGCTGCTTTATACTAAATCAAACCATTACTTCATATCTCCTGCTGATCGGTTTTCAAGTTGGAATTTTCCAGCCCGCCTTACTGTACCTACATTACTATACTTCTTTTCATCGGTACTGAACACGATGATAATAGAAACTTACTGTCTGCCCTCTGTGATACCAAGTGTTGTTCTTCAAGAAGTACCATGACATTGGCTATAGGATATGCTCTGCAACTGACTGAGGACATGTAGCCAGCAGACCAAAAAGGCCCTACTCATTTTATGACAGAAACAACTTGGGGATTATATACCATCTGCTCTTTTCTGCCCCCTCCCCCCAAATACTTTGGGGCTATGTTTTTGGGAAAACGTCAGGAAAATATTTGATTATAAAGTCCTACCAGTTTCTCCTTTTAAACAAAATGCCACATTCATTCTTCTTGAATTGGATTCCATTCTCCAAATCAACAGGATATTCTGATGCAGCCTCAAGCTAAATCAGAACAGACTGTCAAGCTAGATGCACCTTGAATTCTTCTTGAAGCAGCCCTGCGTGCCATTCAGTTTAATTCACTTTGTTGCCAATGTATAGTATATAGAAGGGTGTAATGAAGTAGAACATTTGATGGAAATGTCTAAACATTAAATACTGCCTAGGGTCTAGAATATCGGGGAAAATGACAGGGAAATTGAGTACGGAACTATAAATGAAGATGTATTAGCAGTGCAACTGCTAGCCCAGAGTTTTGTTTCTCATAAATGTAACTTTATGAAACTCTGATTGTTTGGTGCTAAGAAAAAACAGACTTCTTCATTTATTGTATGTAGTGAACTACTAACAGCCATTTACCCCAGTTCTATGGCAAGATTTAACATATCTAACTTGTAATGTTAGACAAAATTGCCAGGATTATTTTTCAGTTCGCATAGATCAGACTCTAATAAGTGTAATTGAAAGGAGGAAAAGACTTGAACAGACTTCATGTGCTCCAAGTATCTTTCTGAGGTTCTCATTTGTAAATACAGAAGCAGACCTATCAAATGAATTATGATAAACCAAATGCCATGGATTATAATATACCTTCTCAGACAAGAATTAAGTTCTCCTTACAAGTATATTGTTACATTCATTCTTGAATGTGGTGAACACCATTTTAATCAGTAAACCCACCAGGAATCTATTGAATCATAACTGATGGCTCATCAATCCTTGCTTTTTTTTTAACTAAAAGGTTTCTATATAATTTTAAATAAAAAAGATCATTTTTATATAATAACATAACATATTTCTCTTCAAAAACTATAATTGGATAATAATTTTAAAATATTCCTCAGTAACTTAATGATTAAAATGTGCAACTCTTTATAATTTACCCTTCCTTCAAAGTCTCCAAACAGCTGCATATGATTTTTCTTGAAATTTATCCACATAAAACCGTTTTAGGTAGGTAAGCCAATGTCATTCAATGAGTTTCATGAGTGAATGGAAATGTCAATCTACTTCCCTTTAATTTTATTACATTGTACTGTAACCATCATCCTACATTGACTATCAAGCCATATGTAACAATAGAGTGATAGGCTTCCTGGCTGTATTTGAATATTATATCATCATTTTTTTTCCTTCCTATCCTCCCTGCCATAGCCAAAGACTGAAATATACCTGCCTAATGGCAGAACAACAGAATAATAGAATTGGAAGAGACCTTGGAGGTTTTCTAGTCCAAACCCCTGTTCAAGAAGAAAACCCTATACCATTTCAGATAAATATTTGTCCAATCTCTTCTTAAAACCTCTAGTGATGGAGCACCCACAACTTCTGGAGGCAAGTCATTCCACCAATTTAATTGTCCTAATTTTCAGGAAATTTCTCCCTAATTCTAGATTGCTTCTCTCCTTAATTAGTTTCCATCAGTTGCTTCTTGTCCTGCCTTCAGATGCTTTTGAGAAAAGGTTGACCCTCTCCTCTTTGTGGCAGCTCCTTAGATATTGGAATTCTGCTATCATGTCACCCCTAGTCTTTTTTTCATTAAATTAGACATACCCAATTCCTGCAACTATTCTTTGTATGTCCTAACCTCCAGTTGTCTAATTATCTTTGTTGCTCTTCTCTGCACTCTTTCTAGAATTTTAACATCTTTTTTATATCGTGGTGATCAAAACTGGATGCAATATTACAAGTGTGGTTTTACAAGGCATTATAAAGTGGTATTAACACTTCACATGATCTTGATTCTATTGATCTGCCAATGTAGCCTAGGACCACATTGGTTTTGTTTTGGACAGCTGCAGTATTCTGCTGGCTCATGTTTAAATGATTGTCCACTAGGACTCCAAAATCTCTCTCACAGTTACTACTATTGCTCAAGGTACTACCTATTCTATACATTCTATGCATTTGTTTTTTCTTGCCTAAATGTAGAACTTTACTTTTCTTATCACTGAATTTCATTTTGTTAGATAGGACCCAGTGTTCAAGTCTGTTGAGATCCTTCTCTATCTTAAGCCTATCTTCTGAAGTGTTGTCTATTCCTGCCAGCTTGGTGTCGTCTGCAGATTTGATGATTTTTCCTTCTATCCCCTCATCTAAATTGAAGATTTAGATGATATTGAAAAAGTATTGGGCCTAAGACAGAGACGTAGGATACCCCTTTATATACTTATTATTATATGTGAGTAATCTACATTAGATTCATAGTCTAAGACTGTAGAAACTTAATAATTCAAGTTATTATAAATTTTGTATGCCACCCAACCTCAATGATTCTGGATACTTTGTGCATGCTTGCTATCATAAAACAATCTCAAACACCTAATCTCATCTTCTATGCAAAGATGTAATTATATCTCTGAAGATTGAAAAACAATAGACTGGAATCAAATTTTTCAGCATCATTATAGCTGTATTGTACATCATTCTATTCATATAAATATTTACATCCCTTCTTTCTATTTGAAAGTATGATCAAGTTGACTTAGAATACTCCAACAATACAAAACCAAAATCAAATAGAATTAAAACCTACTAACAATATATTAAGATTAAATTCATAGTAACAAGAATAGGTTGCTTGGTTCATAATATAATTTCTATACCTTTTTCCTTTTTGTATTGCTGTGCTTATTCTGTTTACTCTTTAATGCTGTTGCATGCATTTGTATATGTTGATTAGTTTCCTCAATAAAATATAAGTAAACTGCCTTCTTTAGTTTGGTAACAACACAAGACCTGTCTTTTGCACTGTTGGAACACTGTTTTGGTATGAAATGGGGTTATCTAGTAAGTCCAAGTGGCATTTCTATAGGGAGAAAGAATATATTCACCATGCCTAGTCATTCAGAAATGACTGTGCAGGTAGCTTCTCAATTTATAGACAGCTATTTAGTAGTTTATGGAGGAAGAGTGCTGTAACGTTATAAAAATTATCTCCTACTGTTTCCTTTGTGAGTAATTTGTGCTGAATCACACCTACCAGCATATTTCAAATAGACTGGCCCCTTTTCATCACAAAACAACAACAACAACAACAACAACAACAACAACAAACCTCCGTTGAATTCTCAGGACATTGCAGTTACTCGCTCATGTTTCATCTAAAATGCATGCAACTAATTTCCTTTCTCAACAAGAGGATGTGTGGGGAAAAGTCATTCTCTAATCTTATTTCACACACTTCTGCCTCCCACATATAGTAAGAAACTAAATCATCATGATTCACTCTGCTTCAGAGACATAATTCAGGATTTATGTAATAACGGATGTCTGCTTAATCTTCCTGCTTTTTTTTCTTCTCCTGTTGTTACAGTAAGCGTTATAAATTCCATGTTGGTTCCATATCTTGTTACTTAACAATATTTTTAAATCAAAATATCCTGATGTCTATATTCCTTTCCTATCCTTCTTATGAACACAATGATTCTACCATATCCCTGTCTTCAGGTTTAGTTCAGTTGCCTTCTCTTATTTAATATCTACTAAGTATATTGTATACTGAAGCTGAAGCTCACATACTTTGGCCACCAAATGGGAAGAGAGGACGTATTGGAAAAGATCCTGATATTAGGAAGGATTGAAGACAAAAGGAGAAGGGGATGGTAGAGGATGAGATATATAGTGTCATTGACGCAGTGGGCTTGAGTTTGGGCAGACTAAGAGAGACTGTAGAGGACGGGGGTCCTGGCATGCTATGGTCCATGGGGTCACAAAAAGTTAGACATGACTTAGAGGCTGAACAACAACAACAACAAAAGTATTCTGTATATTATTTAGTATATGGGCTTCCCCATTATGGTGGGTTCCTCCTTGGTGCCCTCCTCCTGACTATAGATTAGTCACCTAATCTGGGAGAACCGAGAAAACCTATACGGTCTTTAAGACCTAAGTTCCTCACAACTTCTATGTTCTATGGGGAGCAATCTGGTCAGACAAACTAAAAATTCCAGTTTGTTTGCTGGGAGACTGAAGTGTTTCTCTCCATGCATATTTAGTATTGAGTTCAAAGAATCTGTTCAGGTTCTTTTGTGAAACTGGAGTAATTTTCACTGCTGTAGAGCAAGGCAGTGTTCTGAAATTTTAGAGGTGATTTGACTTACTGCATATATGTCCTTCATCTTCTCCATCTGCACAATCTTTGATGAAGTCACACACCTGTCTCAACTTGATCACTGTTCCATTCCAGCAGTTGAAATAACTCTGAAGAGCCATTTTAGAGACAGATGGAGGTCCTAGGAAAAAGAAAGAAGAATACTATTTAAGTATCTTCATCAGAGTTTGTACAGTATATTTGGCTGGGTTTCATTCTCCACCAAAGGACCATAATCATCACAACTCTAAGGCAGTTATTCCACTAAAGATCACAAAGCCTGACTACTGGTTGATACAGAGTAATTCACAGATGAAAATGTCTCTCACTGTATTCATTA